TGCAGCACCGACGAAGCTCCTGACCAGAGCCTCTGGCGCAAGACGCTGCAAGAAAATTTCGACTTGAACCCACTAGAAGTGTCGCACTTCTCCTCCCAATAGCATCATCCAACACCAGGGCTAAGACCGATAAGAATCAGAATCCTCCTCAGCCGAACCCAAAGGCCTCCATGGTCCGATCGAAGCTGGCCCGGCTCAGCCTCGTCCATGGAAATAGCTTTCGGGGGGCCCAAGCCGTGGCATCTATCGGGCTTGAGGAATAAGGAGGCTGAAGATCATGGATCGACGATCTATGACACACATCCAACGAGCGAAACCTGCTTGCCCAACTCCAACCCCTCGCTCGCAGCAGATCAAGGTCTCAAAAAACACTTGCCTGAGGAGATTCACGAGAATTGTGCATGCCCTCATGAGCCGAAATCACGTGGCTCAGCGGAAAGGCGCCAAAACAAGACTCTGCGTGCCCTGCTTGATGGTCTCCGCAGCCAGGAATGGATGCCTGGCTTTAGGACTGGTCCTTCCCCTGCTCCGACCATTGCTACGCCAATACGTCTGGTCCTTCTGCCATTTCTTCTCCTACTTCCTCCCCCCGCACAGCTGCTACTGATCTGCTACCTGATGTTCACTACTGGTTAAGACACGGGGTTGTGTTCGTGAAGAACCTATTTGGCCCGCTCTGGCCGCTCGGCTTCAACGACGACTACAAGCCTGCAAATGGTCCCCTCATGTGGAAACAGTAAATGGGGTCGTGCAAAGAAGAAACCCCTTCCACAGTTAATTTGTTAGTGTGGCATGACGGCTTCTACAGTTCCTGCTGATATGACGACAACGACGACAACGACGACGACGACGACTACTACTACTACGACGACTACTACTACTACGACTACGACTACTCCTCCTCCTCCTCCTACTACTACTTCTTCTACTACTACTACTCCTACTAATGCTACTACTACTACTCCTCCTACCACCACCACCACCACCACAACGACGACTACTACTACTACTGCTACTACTACCACTACTACTACTACTACTACTACTCCTGCTGCTGCTGCTGCTACTACTACTACTACTAATAATAACAATAATGCTACTACGACGACTACTACTACTACTACTGCTGCTACTGCTGCTACTGCTACTGCAGAAACCACAACAACCGCTGCTGCTGCTGCTACTACTGCTGCTACTGCTACTGCAGAAACCACAACAACCGCTGCTGCTGCTGCTACTACTGCTACCACTACCACTACCACTACCACTACCACTACCACTACCACTACCACTACCACTACCACTACCACTACTGCTACTATTGCTACTACTATTGCTACTACTATTGCTACTACTACTACTACTACTACTACTACTACTACTACTACTACTACTACCACTACTACTACTACTACTACTACTACTACTACTACTACTTCTACTACTACTACTACTACTACTACTACTACTACTACTACTACTACTACTACTACTACTACTACTACTAAAGTACTACCCCACCACTACCACGACCATGACCATTGCTGCTGCTACTACTACTACTACTACTACTGCTGCTACTGCTACTGCAGAAACAAGAACAAATAGTGCTGCTGCTGCTGCTGCTACTACTACTGCTACTACTACTACTACTGCTGCTGCTGCTACTACTACTACAACTACTACTACTACTACTACTACTACTACTACTACTACTACTGCGGCTGCTGCTGCTGCTGCTGCTTCTGCTCTGCTGCAGCTACTGCTACTGCAACGACTCCTACAGTCTGCTACAGTTTTTACTGCTGCCACTACCACTACGACTACCGCCATGACAACCGCGACGAGCACTCCCGCTACCACCACCACTACCACTACCACTGCCACTAGCACCGTGGTAATGACAACGACAATTACGACTTCTTTCGATTCTACTTTCGCTGGATGTGTTCGATAAGAAGGCAGTGTCACGAAACCCAGCCGCTCATCGTTCGTGTGAACACATCCTATCTTTGTGATACCTTGGGTTGTAGGGCACCCCCTTCTTACCGTGCTTCTTTCGGAAGTAGTGGTACCCAAGCATTCATGGGGTCTGTAATTATCTGATGCAACAATGCGCAGAAACCTCCTGCGATCATTGGCTGATACCCAAATGAAACAGGAACCACGCGAAGATCGCCAGGACCGCTCCAATAGTTCCGGGATCGTTGGTCGTTTGCTGGGCTCTCGCTGCAGACACCTCACGAGTTTGTTTGTTCCAAGATGCTGCGAGTTTGTGTAAAGCTTTATCCCTTCATCGGGCTCCGGACCTGGGAGCCCAGGGCTTCTACTCTCGGGCTGACGGCTTGGGGCTCTGGGTTGTAAACTTATGCATGGGCCTGGGGGTTGGTGCGGGCATTGGGCTGTGGCCTCTGCTTGATCATACCTCAGAGAAAAGCTACAACCACTCGGCCAACTGACTCGACATCACCCCTGTCTGACCAAACCGACTGCTTACACGTAGCCCCCAAACGCCCAACAAAGCTACGTACATGGTAGAAATCGTACCTGTGGCGATAACAATATTACTATTCGCAATTGCAACCGGGCCATGGCAGGCGTCGTCATCATAGTAGACTAGTAGAGTTTGTGCCACATCCATCGTAGTCGTGTAGTCGTCAGTAGCAGGGGTAGCAGTCGTAGGAGGAGGAGGAGGAGGAGTAGAGTTAGTGGAGTAGTAGTGGTAGTAGTAGTAGTAGTAGTAGTTGCAGCAGCAGCAGGAGGAGTAGTAGTAGTAGTAGTAGTAGTAGTTGCAGCAGCAGCAGGAGTAGTGGTAGTAGTAGTGAGTAGTAGTAGTTGCAGCAGCAGCAGGAGTAGTGGTAGTAGTAGTGAGTAGTTGTAGTAGCAGCAGCAGCAGCAGCAGCAGCAGGAGGAGGAGGAGGAGGAGGAGGAGGAGGAGGAGGAGGAGTAGTAGTAGTAGTAGGAGTGGCAGGGGCAGCAAGAACAGGAGCTGTCGCAGTAGTGGTAGCAGTCCTCGTCCTAGCAGTACTCGCAGTAGCAGCAGCCACAATGGTTGCTGCAGTAGTTACTGTACTTGTTGCTGTTGCTGCTGGTGCTGGTGCTGGCGCTCTTGCTATTCGTGTTGCTGTTGTTGTTGTTGTTGTTGCTGTCGTTGTTGTCGTCGTTTACGCAGTGGCAGTGGCGGTGGTGGTGGTGGTGGTGGTGGTGGTGGTGGTGGTGGTGGTGGTGGTGGTGGTGGTGGCGGTGGTGGTGGTGGTGGTGGTGGCGGTGTCGGGGGCGATGGTGGTCGTGCTGCTGCTGGTGCGGGTCTACAACAACAGTACAGAATGGGTAGAAGCACACATGCTACTACTAAGTTCCTGAGTACCGGCACAAAGGTTTGTATTGCTGCATAAGGCCATGCCGCACTTTTCGAAACCCAGGAATTGAAGCGTGTAGCGTTTTCAGCGGCAAATCGAAGATCAAACACCACACCCAGTCCTCTGCAGCACGTCGAGCAACTGGTCCTGTGCACGGATGCTTTGGGGGTAGGCTCAAGTTTGGAGAGCTTCATGATTCAATCGTTATTTTGAATAGTTGAAGTACGAAATGGGGATTGGGATGTACGCTTAACGCTGTGTAGGACCCTGCATGTAGGGCCTCAGGGCTCGAAGGTTTGGGATTTGGGCAGGGTTTCGAGTTTTGCTGAACTGGATGCAGCCATGACAAGAACTGTCATGGAGCGTCTCAGCAACTGAAAGAGCGGGGCAGCTGAAGAGCCAAAGAGGGCTCACTTGTTGACCAGACTTTCGGGGGAGGGGTTATTGAATCCTTCAGAACTGCAAAATCCTGAAAGCGTACCATCCGCTCGGGTGGTTGAGAGAGTGGAAAAGCCAGTCGTCGTGGACACATCTTACGGTGTTGCTCTTACTTTAGCGATCAACATGCAACTCCGTGAAACTCCGCTCAGCCTTAGCACATCCCCACACAAGCGCCGCACCATAAACTCTCAGGCCCAAGTCCTGAACCTGACAGGAGCCCCATAAAACAAACTAATTAATCACTTGTCAAAAACCCTACACCCGAAATCATCAGCCTTAAACTTTTAAACCCGACGCCGAGAAACCCAATCTTGAACGCCCTAGACCTTAAACACTATTCTGAAACCCCGTGTGCCTGGACTTCATGGGAGTGAGTCTCAAAGCGATGCCCTTTTGGGAACTCGACGACCATACTCGGATCCTCGGCCGCTGTTATGAGGGCTATGTCTGTTTAGAGAACTTACAGAGTTTGAAGTTCAATGGTTGAATTGAACTTAGGGGTCGATCTATAAAGTTGAAGGGTTTTGGTTCGGCCTGGTCGTCAACAGCATCTTGACACAGACGGCTCTGTTCTCACGCAACTTGGCTGCTCCGGCTGCAGCAGCAACAAGAATAACAGCAACTGCTGCTGCTCCCAGCACGAGGCTGGGGTGAACTCCAGGAGCATGTTGGCGATTCTTCTTGTTGTTGAGACTTCCGATGCATTTTGTGTCACTAAGGTACTGCCATTCTCGTTGTTGGCATGATCCGGTATGATTGTTAGACGGATTCCGCGATGCTGGTGGGGCCCTAGGTAAATGTTCTTGCCGGCACCTTTCGTAGCAGGCCGGTGTGTCACCAAATACCAGAGCCTAGGCCCTAGGGCGGCATTTGGGCTTACGGCTGCGTAGACATTGCAGCGACGCCCACGGAAATCTGGCATCTGACGCTGCTCGAAATACGCTGTGTACCTGTGACTTCCAAGCACACACCACCGAGCCGTCCTCCACGGTTTGGTGACGGCTTTCTGGGCTAATTACTCGCCCTTTCATTTCGGGTTCTTCGTCGTGCGCACGTGGCCTCACACTTGGCTCGTGGAATGTTGGGTCCGAGGTCGCGGAACAACAGCAGCAATTCGATCAAAGCACCAACCTCCAAGAGCCCAGAACCAAAACCCACGCTAGCAACACCTTCAGGCGTTCTTTTCCGTGGCTGGGGTTGCTACAGCATATATCCAAGAAAAAAGTCCCGCAATTTCTCGAGCTCGTCCCCATCCTTGTCCGAGCGCGTCACCGTCAACGCAAAGAGTCGTTGCATTGGATCCAGGTGGGCGAACGGGGCCTTCATGTAAACCATCTGGTACCTGGCGGGTTTGTAGTGGTGTTTGGGGGCTTCCGGCCGGGACAGTTGGACCGGAGTGTACTGTAGTCTATCCCGAAACCCTGGTCTACTGCAGTTATTCAGCCCCTGCATTCTCCGACTGCTTGGGAGAATTGGGCACAGGATGATTCCCAATGACCAGATGTCCGAAGGGCGGCCCATCTTCACTGCACCCTGCTTCACAGCCTTCGCAGGACAGGAGTCAGGGTACGGTTAGGTCCGTCAGGTTTACGGGTAAAGCTTTCAGGATTTGGGGCCTTGGGCTCCAAAACATTATTCGATGTGTGGCTTCAAAGCTTGCTCGGATTTGCGGCAAGGAAGACTCAATAGCCAATAGCCTAGGCTGCTGCTGGGAGGCTCCAGGACAGAGCACAAAAGCGCAAAACAGTGGATTAGTTGCGCACGAGATGGCACTCCAAGAATGCAGCTCTTGCGTTCTCCAAAGCGCCTCGTATAGGTTTCCTGAGGTTTTCCCAGCTCAAAATACAGGTCCGTTTGCCCAATCCCCTGCAGAACACGCTCACCAGATTCGCATGCCAGCCTTTAACTTCTGCACCGGGGAGTCAGAAACAGTTCTGGGATGCGGTCCCAACAGATAGTGCAACAAATGCAGAAGAAGGACAAAACCATCTGTATCATAATGGACTGCATACCTCCATTCTACGACCCCGCCTCTGGCGCCATGTAGCTAATGGTGCCCACGGAAGACTCGCGGCTAATATTGGTGGTGTTGCTTGCGATCCTGGCGTGCAGGGTCGTTGGAGTGTGGGGGATGAAGGAAAATCAGGATGTGGGGGAATCTAAGGGTCCGAAAGTTTGATAACATTGATCCACACTGAAGCTTTACAGTGTTGATTATTGAAAGCTGCAATCAAGAAAATTGCAGTTCTTCCGAAGTTCTTCTCTGAAGGCCTCGAGCCCGAAAGAGCCTATAGAAGCACTACATTCACTACGCCGCTCTTGCTTGAGGAGCAAGGTTGCGGCAAAAACTGTCCGAGAGACTATGCGAATCGTAGGTGAAGCTTCTAGAAGACTCACTTCGGCGAGCCCATCATGCGGGTCTCATCACCGAGTCTGAGGCTTCCTTCTTTTTGTGAAAGTTGTAGATGCAGCATACCTCCGACACCAATCCGAAGGCCCGGTGACCCCAAAAGCCTGTGATCCACAGGCCTGGCTTCAAACTCGTCGCAAATCGAAACGGTGAGCCGTCAAAAAGTTAAGTATGGAAGAGAGACCCAGCAAGCCCTATCTAGCACATCAGAAGCCTCTCCAAAGGCAAGTCCAACACGAAGAACTCAATGAGACACCTGCACTGCCGAATACTGAACACCAGTCATGCTCCAATTGATTGATAAAACGACGCCACTCCGATGTCTGAAGCCATCTTCGAACCTCTTTGCGATGCCGAAGTCGATGAGCTTCAAGCTCTGCTTCACGAGGAGGAAGTTCCCGGGCTGGCAGGTGTTGGGGTTTGGAGCTCAGGGCGTAAAAGGCGTAAGGCTTCAGCCCAGCAAGCAAACACCGACCCCAGCTCCATGCCCGAAACTTTCTCCAAGGCCCTGATAGTCCTTGCAGATTTGCTGAGGACCCGCATTTTCGCTGTTGCAAAGAGCCCTCAGAAGTGTAGTGCAACAAATACTCACAACATCCTTCAAAACCATCCGATTGCCTTCTAGCTCCCGAAAGCCATCTAAACCCATGACACGCTCCATAATTTATCCAAATTCCATGCTTTCAAGCCGTGAACCTTTTCCATGCAGAAACCCTATCAAGGTCAACCTCGAGCCTAGACCCTCCTGAAGCCCGCACCCCTAAACCAATGCCCTGCGAAGTTGTCGAATCTCCTCTGCAACTACCCTAGGCCCCTAAGCCTAAACCCCTGAACTGCAAAAATCCCCCGTTGCCCCTTTCAAGCTTGAAAGGCGGCCTTCAGGTCGGAGTGCACCACGCGCTCGCTGTGAACGACCTGTGCCCCAAAGACCCGAACAGGAAGGGGTTGGGAGTTTAGGAGTGTAGGGACTGGGGATATATCAAAGTTCTCGGGTTGTGCTCAAAATTGCCGTGATTTGACTCTGGGCCTCAACAAAACCAATTGCATCGCGGAGCATCGGAGCTTAGGGCATCGAATGGGTTCCGGGTCTCGGGGGTAGGTGCGACATTGAGGCATAACCCTGCCTTTCCCACGAAGCAAATAACATCAACGAGCTGTATATAAATCCACTTCCTACACCCTGAAGCCGAGTGTTAGAGGCTCGGACGCGAAGCTCTGAACCACCCCTCGACCCAAGTGTTTAGGACTCAGGCAGACCCTTAAAAAGTGTTGGGGGCTTTCGGGCTAAGGAAGGCCTGCACCGCCTCTAACATCTGCTTCCACAACACCTGAGCACGGCAAATCTTGGGCGAAGGTTCGCGGAACTTCGGATACAGAATAGGGTGGAGGGCTTCGGGATGCTTAGGGTATACGGTATAAGGGATGACGGTTGTGGGGTGTAGGCTCAGCAACAACAACCACCTGCAAAACCAACGATCAACCACCAAGACCAACAACGACACCACCACCAACAACAACAACGACACCAACACCAACTGCACCTACTACACCACCGCCAGCACCACCACCAACAACAACAACAGCACCAGGCTTTTGGGCTCTATCGAAGTATGATGGTGTGGCACTCTAAGCGGATAGATTCTGCACTGAGGGGTGGTTTTGGCTTCGGGAGTCCCCTCCCAGTCAGGCTTCCAGTTCGGGATCCCTAGCCGAGCTCCCTCCTCCGGAAATAAGGCCCCGTAAAAAGAACTTTGCTTGACAAGAGCCCCGCAACGCCCTATGTAGGAGTTGGAACCACCAGTAATCATTCTTAATATCAGAAATATCCCCTAGCAGTGTTGCAGGCCCTCAGACGTCAGAGTCCCCAAGAATGCACCAAACTACCCCAAGCCAATATGCCTATATATCGCAACACAAATATACCCTAAAACAAATGGAATGTGAAAAGAAGCGCTGATGTAGACTTTCTTGCGACCCCGCAGCATCTCTGGGTCCTAGGTGCTCAACGCTGACACCTTAAAGTCTGTAAGCGAACGGCCTACAAAGCAATCTTTGAAACTGCCCTATTTGACCCCACGACAGATCTGCAGCTCTCCGTACCTATAAACCTAAACCCTTGAAGAACTTCTGCACCCCTTGGACATCAGATCCCCCCAAGGAGCAGGCTTGGACTTCTCCTAAGGTGATATCCGCCTCAGCTTGAAGCAGCCTGCAGAGGGGCTTTCGGGAAGGGAAGGCTTGGAGACTACATGTTGCGTCTCGGAAGTCTAGGCATTTTAGGGCTGACGGGTAGAGGCCTCGGCGCAGGGAATGAATTGTAGGACCTTGAGATTTACCCTGAACCGAAAAACTTGAGAGCTGGTCACGAAAGCTAGAAGCACGAGGTCCGGTGCTGAGCTCTGCAAAGCGATGTGCACGACAGTAGCGGAGGGAAAGTTTGGGCCGGTGAAGGGTGCAGGCGTTGCTCGTTCATTTAACTCTTGAGAAAGTAATGTGCGAACGACAACTAGAGGTAACTCTGGAGAGAAGACCGCACTTCAGTCGCCGAACGTCAGACACAAACAAAACCAAGGGACCTTGAGGAGGGGGGGGGTGGGGGGGGACCTCATGATAGGGGGGGGGGGGGGGGCCCCCCCCATATGAAAGAGTTTGCTGGAGTTGAGCTCCAATCTTCTGGTTCGAGTCCGTATAACTTATGACCATCGGCACTTCTGGTGCTACTACCATTGCCGGTGCTGTTGTGATCACAGTTTTGAAACCTTCACCAGACAAAACACAACAACAAAATACAAGACATCTGCACCGCTACGAACGTTCCTCTGGTACATCAACTTATCCTGCTTGAGGCATTCCTGATGAAGCCGCTAGGCAACACAAATGTACTTGGTGCTCAGAACTGTTGCTCCTGTGACTGCTTTGGTTGTCGCTTCCGGGCCTTAGAGGTTGAGGCTTCTCTAAGCGTTATATAGTTCGGGCCTTGGGGCTGTAGCCTTGGGGAAAGGAAAGCGTCGGGTTTCAAAGTCGCCGCTGCTGTAGGGCATGCCCTTGACTGAATTTTACTTGAGCTCTTTGTGGGTGCTTCGGGCTTCAGCCACGGCCGGTGCTCTCCTGAACCAGAAAGGGTCTGACTGCCACCTCCGATGTGCAGAACTATATTATGGTGATGCGATGATGCGAGAGGGTTTGAGGCTTTCTCCTTCGATCCGCTTCGATGCCTCCAAAGCATTCCTAGCCGTCACCGAAACAACAAACGCACAATATCCAAAGCAACCACAGATCGATTCTAAAACTCTGTTTAAACCAAAACATGGAAGAGCCCCGTCAACATTCAAATGCGCCGTGCCGGTACGGAAAGACAGCTTTGGCTGTGCTATGTTCAAGTTGCGATTTGGTATGGCGACGGACTGTTTTAGCACGTCGACGGGTAAGTTTGCAGTGTTGTATTGTACTTATCTCAATTTTTCTCCACCCACACACGGCCATTTGCTCTGCGGAAGCAGAGCCGTTTGGCACCTGGATGGATGAGTTGTAAACTCCTGTAGAAGCGCCCGACGAAAACCCAAACGCCAGGCGGATGGACAAAGACCTCGCGCAGTTCCCATGCCAGCGCGCCCTACACGACACATTGACGTGAAAGTTTACAAGTCGTCACTTTCAACTTTTCTCCGCCCACGCAGGGCCGTGTGCTCTGGAGGCAAAGCCCTTTGACACCTGGACGGATTAATTGTAACTTCTCATTTCGAACTTCCAACAATATAGCCCGAACAACCCCGACGACCAGGACAACCCAATGCACAGCCCCGGACAACCCGGACAACCTGACGGCCGCACCATAACATGTCGACGTCTGTTTTGTTGACGGGAATTCAATTTCTTGACCTGCGGCGTCCCCCTATCAAAAAGCCTAGACCGCAAACACTACAGTCCAGAGCCGTGGGCTAGAGGGCTGGGACATCCGTGCCTGCCCAAATCCATCTGCCCTTCCTCCATGACCTCACAGCGAGCAAACTGAGCAGAAATACGGGAAAACTCGAAGTTGAAACCTCGAGGAGCCCCAAGTCCAGCAAGCATTTCCTGAGGACGACACCATTTTTGCACGAAAGCAACAATTGCTAGATCTTGCTAGGGTTCAAATTGTCGGAAGCTTTGCTGAAGACCTGCTGGATTGCGCTTCAGAGGCCTAGCTACAACGAAGTACTCCTTCTAGACGAAAAGAGTGACTGACACCTGATGCATGCCACGTGTGGCTTAGAAGCGTTAAGCTTTTACGTGTTGAACCAGAGCCACTGTACTTCGTCATGAGCGCAATTCTGGGCTGTTAGGTCCTCGGCACCACTGCGAACACTGGAACCAGGCCGCTGGCTATGTGAATCAACAGCCGCTCAGGCAAAACCTGCACAGGCTTCGACGACAGTTGCTTCTACGCATGCGCGGAGGCTGACAAACTCCAGCGTAGGGCAACTGCTTCTGTAGATTTCACCAGTTAGCAGCCGCATGCTGTCCTGCCTATTGTAATTAACTATCTGTGACTACGAAAACACGGCTACAAGCCCTAAAAGGTCTTTGCACAAGCTCGGTACCTGGACCGATGGGAAACCCAGCCCTAATATAAGCCCCAAACCCCAAGTCGCCTTTCGGGATGCATGTAGCACCAAAAGACAGGAGAATCCGGAAATGCGCTGCGCATGGCCTCAGCATCGAGCACCTGGATGATGTTCTGGCAGTCCTGCGGACATGGAAGCCCAATTCCAAAAGTGTGTATGTGTGTGTATACATATACATGTATGAACGCAATGTGTGGATGTTGTTCATTACAAAAAATATGTATATGTATATATCTATATATATATATATAGGGATATACATATATGCAGTTCTTGTCGTAGTCTTACCGGTGCAGTGGGCCGGGATTCGAGAATTCCTATCTAATTTCTGCGGCTTGACCACTTGGGCCACTTGAATCTCCCCAAACAGTGGAACTGCCTTGTACCCCACTTGCCCCACTTGTGCCACTTAACGTCGCCGTTTTGCCCTTCTTGGCCCAGTTGTGCTGCTTGTGCCAGTGGCCTTCGGCACTAGTACGTAGCAGTTCAGCAAAAACCCTTAACTCCAAAAAAGCTTAAATCCTAAACCCTAAATAGTGGTGCCCACGGGTCTTCAAATGGCAAGCGGCGCGTACCAAATGACCATGTCGTGTGTGGCGTTGTGAAGATTCAAGTGGTCAAGTGGCTCAAGCGACACGTTCGAATCTCCGTTGTGTCAATCCCTGTACCCCAGACTCTAGACCGTATCAAACTCTAAATCTTATCAAACCCTAAACCGGTTCTGAACCACGGCATGACTCATCATCTCATGAAAACGTCGTGTCAACCTTAGGGGGAGGGCAGGATTCAAATGTTTCCGTGAGTCATGGTCAGATGTTAGTTGTCTCTATGGTGCTCATTGTCGTCATCATCCTGAAGCTGACATGATTCGTCTCATAGTCGTCATCCCCCGCCCCTTCGACATTATCACCAGTCGCCATCAGCTTTGTAAAGCTTGTTGAACCCTTGGGGGAAACTTGCTCAAAAAAACCCGGGAATCGTATCCCGAGGCTGGTGCCTTCAGCTGCTGCAGCAGTGTCACTTCGTTGGCCAGTGCCTGCAAGGATTTCAGGCTTGGGGCGATCGCTACATTGCGCTTGCTACCGGTGATGTCGAACTTGGGAGGCCCAGTAGAAACAGGACAACAGAGTGTGCTTCACGAGCATGCCGTCGCACTTTTGCCATGCAGGCACAAGGCCAGCTAATGCTTTACTTCCCTTCCCTCAAGAAAAGGGCTGTGCATTTGCAAGGGCCCTTGGTGTAACCTTGAATAACGACAAGCTAGTGGCCCCAAGGCCAGCCCAGGTCCCAAACCCTGAATCATACTGAACACAGCTACGCATTCAAAATTTATGATTAAATGGCAAAAAATGCACAAGTGGGGCAGCGTTCAAGGTTCGCGGTTTTGCTGGACTGGCATCGGGCACAGAGTGTTTGAAGTGCCTCACATGTACTCAATTTGATGGGAACAGAACGGCTCAGAACCAGCAAAGGCTGACGGTACCTCCAGTTTGCAAGCAGCGGGACAAGCCTCGAAATGCTTTGGGCAGCTCGCCGTGACTCGTTTCAGCGCCAGCTGCCTGGGAATCTAACGGTCTAGGCAAGGTCTTGGCATTTACAACGTGGCGACGCCGTAATTCCCGAGCACAGTCTCAGTTCTTGTTGATGCACGCAGGCACCATTGGGGTTTCAGGGAGATTTGTACATGTAGCAGTGCTCGTCCTGCAGCGGTGGCTCTATACAAAATCACACATATTGTCCTTGAGCTACTGTGCTCATCTACCTGTTTCTAGGCCCAGTTCATATGTTCCAGCCAATCGAAACGCCACAGTACTACGACCGCTACTACGACGACGACGGCGGCGACACCGACACACGCGAACACAATGACAGTGCTTACTGATAATCTAGGTTCGGGTTTGAGCCGCACTCCACCATTTTTTTGGCGGGGCCAGAGGATGAGATACGGTTGCAGAGTTGAAACTTGTCACTGTGCCATTTTTGCCGGCAGTGCTGCATCTGGGAGTCAGACATCCCATTCGGCGATCTCACCCGGTAGACCTCCAAGCATCAGGAGGCTGAAGTGACACTTGGTACGACATGGGCTCCGACACCGTGCCGGGCTCAGAAGTACCGTTGATCCATTCTCGAACTGCAGCGTGCAGATTCGCTCGCCCGATGTTTTTCGACTGCGACCGGACTGCCGCCAGATTTTCATGCTGCACTCAGGGTGCACTGAAGCTACCTGGCAGCCGGGGACAAGTCTCACGTTGGGCTTCAGGCGTAGGACTTTGCGCTTCGAACGCAGGCTGCAGGCTTGGCTGGCTTGTCTGCATATGCCCTTCCTTACGCGCAGAACTTGAACCACTGGAATCAGAAGAAGCATCTTACCGAAAGAAAGTTGACTGGCCCTGGAGTCTGAACCCCTGCAAAATCTCGTCAATTTGGAAGCCCTGCCCTCCTCACTCCCAACTGCACTTTCTCATTCTTCAACAGAAAGCTGCGATGAAAATGATGAAAGGGCTGCTTTGTAACCTGTTCATGCTCTAGTGCACCTCTGAGACACTGGCGCTGCCGGGCAACCTCGAGGAGACTGGTGGAGAATCTTACAGGGAGTTGATCGCCGCATCCTCGGCCACAGAAGAGCTCCGAGTCCAGAGCTGAGGGCTAGCGTGGTAAAAGCGACCGCCGAAGCACCCTACCAGAGCAGGGTTTGGGTTTAGGAGCTAAACGGAAAGTTCATGCGAAATCGGATCAGTCGGAGTTGACCGGAACACACACCAACACAATGTCGCAGAGGAAGCAGGCAAGAGTTGGTGAACTTCGAACCTACACACCATACGCCCCTCACCCGAGTCAGGAAGGAAGCGTGACAGTTTCACAATTTCAAACAAAAAACCTACCGCTAGAAAAGATGCGAGAGCAAGGACAGACCTCGAGGACGGAGTTAAGAAACACTATGCCGTCCCGCCGAAGACTGGGGAAGGCTCGAAATTTGAAGAAGAGAAAAGCTCGAAGCAGCAATGTAAACGCCGCCAGAAAGGCCTGAGCCAGCAAGCAATAAACGCCCCGACAAGCGCCAGAACGCACGGCCGCCGAACATTGACATGAACATGTAAAGGACAAACACGATCAGGAACGATGCGGCAACACAAATCCGACTACTACAACCTCCAACTGCAAGTACTGCTAGCACAAGCAACAACATAAGGATATAAACTTGCAACGAACAAGAGATCCACCGCCACACCACCAGACGAGCTACAATACGGGAACGCTCAGACGAGGCACCATGAACTTCTGCTTGTCAGCAGTCTTCAGGCTCTGCAGGTCCTGCCCAATATCGGGTAAAATGCGGTTTTCGGATCTAAACCAAACGACCTAGGTCGTGGCGGGGTGTCTGTGGTTGAACTAGTATGCCCTTGAAGACTCTGACAATTGCTTGCTGAAAAAATAGCTTCTGATATGGCTGCATGCTTTGAGAGTGTTTCTTGAATAAGACCATGTCAATCCTTTCCTGTGCGGACTTTCATGTTGCTATATCTTGTTCACCTTGTTTCCCCTCAGTGTTTTGCTGATAGCCCCTATCCTGAATGACTCCCTATTGCTATACAGCTCTTACGGCTCAGGGGATGGGTAGAAGTAGTAAAAAATGCACGTGATCATACCCAGCTACCCCGCCCCATTGTTTGCACCCTGCCTTGAGGCCACGCCTGACGGCCTGAGCATCGATGTACTTGTCGAGGTTGGAAGAGGATCGGGCCTGTCGAAGGTGCAATGCCTCCTGCTTACCTGAAGCCCAGCAGGTGCTTCTGCGTGACTTGGGGTTTGGGGCCTGCAGCAGCTGCTGCAGCCTGCTGAAGCACAGGTGGCCCGACGCACGGCTCATGGTTAAATGAGAATGTAGAGCACTGGCATTTAACACCGTTCGGAAGCCCTGACACCCTGGACCCTCCCCAAAGCGGCTGGTAAACATCCCATCAACGGCAAGCGGTTCTGCAATAAACCACAAGGAATCCTTCGAACCACCCCAACTGGCTTGTTCAAAACTAGGGCTAGGGTCTTCACCGTGCCTGCGGAGACGAAACAAATAAAACCGCAAAGCGATCATAGCTAGAACCACCCCAATCCACACTCGCCCTACACCAAACCATGCAGCCCCATGCCATCATGAGGACCCTATGACCCGAAAGATGACCCCGGAACCCACGCGCAGAAATACACAATCGACAATAAGCGTACTTCTTGCTCGTAAGCGTTGCAAACTACGGGTTCCGAAAATCAGGATCCACATGTTGTCCCGTCTACCCTTTGTATCCTTTTTTTCTAAACTCTGCACTGAGGCCTCCATATCCTTCAGGTTCGACTCTTGGGCCTTGTCCTGGCGTACGGGTCTCGGATCTCTATCACGCTAGGGCTGCTTCTGATTTAGGGCCGTTCTATGTTCTTGTGGCCCGTACAGCCTGCAGTCCTTTGAGTCCCGGTAGTCCTACATTCCTGCGGCTTCTCGCAATCTACAGTGCCCCCGCACTCCTGTGTCTCTGTGGCTCTTGCAGCCTGCAGCCCTCCTGCATTGCTTGATGTCCGAAGTTCCTGCCGCCCCTGCTAATTGCTGCGTCCTGCAAACACTTTACGCGCTCGGAGCGGCTACCTGAACCTGCCATGTCCTGCTTTATTCTGCTTTTTGTAGCAGGGTTCTGAAAAAAGCCCTGGTATAAGCTTCTAGCAATGGATAAGGTCGGCCCTAACATCTGTCGCACGGCACAAAGGCCACCAAGCGCCTGGGTGTCCATGGTCTTCTGGGCCTGCGCCTGCGGTTCTGGGGTTTCGAGCATGGCTTGGGGCCGGCTTGGGGGCCGAGATCCCGGGTTCGATCCGAAATGGACTGAATGTCAGACTCTCGCTGTGACTTCCGACTTGAACTACACTTGGGGAGACTGGAAGAAACCTGGGTAAAAACCAAAAAAACAACAGTACTGTAGATCCCGCAAACAGCCGGACCTACGTTAGAGGACTGCAATCGCAAATTCCACGGTTAGAAACGAGAAAACCGCCACGGGCTCCACTCACTCAGAATCGTGGGGACTTCCGTGTTGAGTTAACTGCTCGCGTACATCTAAAGAGAGCGAGACCGATCGACAACTCTGAATCCTTGCAAACTGTTGCTCAATCCTCGCATCGCAGAAACTCCAAATTCCACAATGAAGGCCCAACCGGCACCTCCCATTGATCCTATATACCTTCACTTCAATCACAACCCTGCAATCAGCAATCATGCGCATTATTTCGTACAGTGTAGTCTGAGGATCACATGAACACACTAATGCATGTGCGTCTGTATGGCTGTATGTATGTATGTATGTATGTATGTATGTGTGTATGTATGTATGTATGTATATGTATGTAGTGTATGTGTGTGTGTGTGTGTGTGTGTGTTTTTTTGTATGTGCGTGTATGTATGTATGTATGTATGTGTGTGTGCGTGGATGCATGATGATGTATGTGTATGCGTGTGGTAGGTATATATGTATGTACGCTTGTATGCAAGTGCGAGTGTACGTACGTATGTACGTGTGTAGGCATGTGTATACAGCGAATGTGAATGTGCCTGTATACATATGTATATATATATATATATACATATGTATATATACATATGCATGATGCATATTTCAGTATATATGCACACATACACACCAAGACGGTATTCACAGGTTCATCCATCCATCCGTCCTTTAATCCGATTATCTCTCTACACCCCGTAGCTAACTCTCTCTCTCTCTCTCTCGAACTCTCTGGTCTGGTCTGGTCGGGTCGGGTCAGGTCGGGTCTGGTCTGGTCTCTCTCGCTCTCTCTCTCTCTCTCTCTCTCTCTCTCTCTCTCTCTCTGTCTCTCTCGCTCTCTCTTTGTCTCTCTCTCTCTCTCTCTCTCTGTATATAATCGCTCTGTATATATATATATATATACAGACATACATAATGCGCAGATATGTGTAGGGCCAGTAAAACGGGTTGTACGTATGTAGGTATGTACGCATGCATGTGCACATGTACATCCTAGCGTGTATGCATAGAATCCCCTCCTCCGACTAGTAAACCCTCCGCCGAGGTATAAACCGAATTCCCGGAGAGCATGTGGCCCGGAATGCGCCCGAAGCGGAGTTTTTAAAAGGGCCCAAAGGACAGTACAGTTGGAGACTTTGAAGACTCTTGGGGAGACCTCGCGGCCTAGCGATACTCCCAGGGTAGAGGTACGTACAATTATTCGCCAAACCTTTATCAAATCAAAGCTCTCTCTTTGTCTCTCTCTCTCTCTCTCTCTCTCTCTCTCTCTCTCTCTGAGTTTATTTTTTAGGGGCTGTCCGGCTGTCCCAGCATCAAAAACCATTTGAATTGCAAGCGCGGGTGTGTACTAGAATGAGTGAGTTGAGTTCCTTTATCGGTTCGGGGACTGTCCAAGCATTCGAGCCGCGAGTGTAAGAGCGAGTGTGCACAAAAACGTTGAGTTGAGTTGACAGCAAGATCTGCAGCCAACAGGTGCCGGAGGAACGTGGAACTGCAGGCTGTAACAGTGGCAGGAACATAGGACTGCCGGGCCTGCGGCTTGCCAAAGTGCCGAGCCTGACCCCTTGAAACTAAAACTCATTTCAAAGAAAGCTTGTTCTTAACATTCGGGAGCGGGGGGAGGGGAGGGGATATTATATACACATGTGAAAATACATGTATATATACATATATATATATATACAATGATGTAACATGTATATGTAATATTACTTTAAAAAAGATAGGGACAAGATTTTACGTACCCATGTTTGTTTATGAATAAAAGTAAGAATAAACATGTGTATGTATACGTGAAATACGCCTATGTAATGGATGTATGTGTATGTATATATGTATCGGTCTATCTATGTGTATATGTATAGGTATGTGTGTAAACATACATACATACATACATACATACATACATATCTATATATATATATATATATATAGATAGATAGATAGATAGATAGATAGATAGTGTATGCATGTATGCATATTTATATGTAGGTATGTTATGGTTATATGTGCGTAAGCCACAGACACAATTGTGTTTGCATGTGTGCATGTATATATACACATACACATTTACATACAGACATAATTACAGTACATGAATACCTTAAGACATTAATACAGTAGTACTTTAATACATTAATATGCATACATGCATACATACATACATACATAATTACATACATACACACATATGTCCATACACCCATACACCCATACATGCACACACGGACACACATACATGCATACATACATACATATATATATATATATATATACACTCATGTATATATATATATATATATATATGTATATATATATATATACACATACATATGTATATACTCATGTATATATATATATATATATATATGTATGTATACAGCCATGCAAACATACGTGCGTACGTACGTAGGTATACGCGCATTTTCATATATACAGACAGATAAATACACCCATAGAAATATCTATGAAGACTTGCGCAAACATATAGAAGCCATCATTCGTTCGGAACCTGCAGCGTGGCTTGGAACTCGGCGATGTCCTGCTGCGATATTGGCAGCTTCAGTCATGGCTATTCACCAAGCCTTCATGGTTGTGCAGGCACAGCGACTCTCGCCAAGCATGCACAATAGCTTCAGTTTATGTGACGTGGGTCAATTTGAATGACCCCTACAGCACAACTTAAACTCGAACCACCTGAGGGTGCGTGACAACTCCCCACCCATTTGCTTGACCCTTAATTCGGTTATCGTTGTTCTTACTCTCAGCGTTTTTTGCAGAGCTTTGGATGATTCTGGGACTGGTTTGATTTTACTCTCATCGTTTTACAAGGAACTCGATTGCTCTCAACTTACGGACGCTACTTAAAAGTGATCTCGGGATTGTTCATCATCCATCACAGCAACTTAAATATAATTCCGAACAGCGGCACTGCCACCTAGCGCTGCCAGGTACCAGCACTAAGCCACAATGTACTTGTTCGCAGTGCGACTTGAAGTGCGGAATTGCGGGAGGACTTGCAAGGGCTAGCCTAGCATGTCCGGAACTTTACGATTCTGCCGGAGTTGTAATGGTAGTCGTAGTGGTCGTCGTCATCGCCGTAGCTGTAGTGGTCGTAGGACTAGTAGTATTAGTAGTCGTCGTGATGGTGGTGGTAGTAGTAGTAGTAGTAGTAGACATAGTAGCAGCAGCAGCAGCAGCAGCAGCAGCAGCAGTGGCAGTGGCAGTAGCCGTAGCCGTAGCAGGACCACGAGGAGCCGTAGCGGTAGCATAATTACCAGTACTAATGATACTAGTGCTCTACTACTACTACTACCACAACAGGTAGCAATACCACCACTCCTACGACTACTACTGCTACTGCTAATTCCTTGGAGATGCTGTCGTTGATCTCCTTCACAACCTGCGGCTTGAGGAAAGCTTGGCGGTGTAGTTTACAGCAACCACGACCGGGCTTGTAGCTTCTGCCATGATTGCAGATCTTCTGAGTCTCTATTTATAAACCTGTCTGTCTGTCCGGTTGTCTCCCCGTCTAACTATCTATCTCCCACATTCTCCCACTGTGACTCTGATCCTTAAGGTTTGCACATGTTCGAGGACATGGTAAAGACTTCCCTCCCAGATGCCCATGGAAAGTTCGCTTTCTGACCAGTGGTGTCCAAGAAGCGTCTTCAATCAGCAAAGCCTCGAAAGATTCTGACGTTCTCGCGGAAAGTATGAAGAAACGAGCAACTAAGAGACTAAGAATGTGAGGCCTCAAAAACCCAAATCTCGATAACCCCAAACCGGCAAGTCATCCGTGGAAATTGGAACCCCCCCACCCCCTCAAACTACTCAATAAACTCAATAGGTTTACATCTTGAAGCCCTACGAATCTCCAGAATCGGCACATTGACCCGACGGTCGGGATGCCTGGTCAGCCTGTTCCTTCGCCTTCTTCGCCTCCGCCAGGCGTGCAGTGGCCTGGAAAAAGGCTCACGGCGGATCTTTCTCATATCCATCCTGCTTGTTGCTGAAAAACACACAACATATTCACTATGTGGATATCAACGTATATAGTCTTAGAAATGTAAGGTTTAACCAGTAGCATGTATGTATGTACGTGTGTGTGGTTCACTGCAGATGTGATGGATTTCATTTCCCTGTTCAAGGTTTTACCACACACCTCGATATAGATTGACCGGTCACCGCAGGTATAAAGGTGGAAGGTTAGGCGGTTAGGGTGTATATAAACCAAGTTGCACTCAATGTACGGAATTCTTACCTCGCTTTCGTGCCAGGCGGTATATACCCCTTTTACGTCCGGGATTGACGGGTCTCCCCTATACCAGAGGGGTCACTGGGTCACCTTTTACGTCCGGGATTGACGGGTCTCCCCTATACCAGAGGGGTCACTGGGTCACTAGCAATGCTTGTCTACAAATTGCCGCATTGCACAACAGAGTTGGGGCTGTAAGGGTTAATCAGGGCAGTGCTTCCGTCGTTTGGACTTGTCACCTCACCGACAGTCATAAACGCGCGACTGAATGTGCCCTCACGGTAGCATAGGAGGGATAAATGTTGCATGTGCGTGGTTTTTTCTACACGGGCCTAGATTACAGCAGCAGACAGATTGGGAGTGAAACCATGTGTTGGGATTCAGCGTATGGATGACACCTTTGGAAAATAAGCCAACGCCCCAGAATCTCAGAGCCAAGTCATTTCTTCCGAGACCTCGTTGTACTTGGCGACCGCATCATCGATGTCGGACTGGATCTCCTGCGTGAGTCCGAGTTCCACACAAGAAAAATCAAAGCCGAAGAAACTGAGTGAGCCTAATTCCCTAAACCCTTAGCACAATCGGCCTGAACACATTTAAATCCCAACAGTTACAGGCTTAAAGATCCTGAACACGAAACATCCCTACATGAGCAGACCACTAGACTATAACTTGACAAGATACAGAAACCCTCAAAGACCCGAGTGTCGGTATCTATTGCCTGAGCTTTCACATTCGTCCTGGCTCCTCAACCACCCAAACACGCCTAGGCCCAGCCATGCGAACATTGAAATTATGGCCCCTTTTTGGGTACCCTAAATACTATGTGCCGTAATATGGCAAGGACCCAAAACAATTTTGAAAGACCCTTCATCCGACTCCAACGCCTTCTCGCGGGAGGCCATGGACTCTCCCAGGACAGGGCCGAGGAAGTAAAAGAGCCTCGAAGGTGAGCCCCACAGTGGTCCTATTACTATTACTATTACTATTACTATTACTATTACTATTACTATTGCTATTGCTATTGCAATTACTATTACTATTACTATTACTATTGCCGGTATCATGGTTACGAACCTACTGATGACCAGTGCGATAGTGATCTAGCGGCTCTTGCTCTTGTTGATGACTACGGTTGTTGTTCTCTGTCGGGGATCTGGGAACTTCTGGGTTCAGGATGTATCATGGAGCGGGCAGCGAAAGCTACAGCACTGGTTTTCCTAAGCTTTCTGTGTTTAACCACGTTGGCGAGCGTCCACTTTCATGCCGGCCCTGTAAGCCCAAAACTCTATACCGTGGCCCTGCACTGCACCCAAAACCGCACACCCACAATCACAAGCAACGCCTAAGCGGCATCGAGCAGAGGCCCCCAGCCCAGCGACAAGGATTGAGATATTGATCAGGTTGATCCTCAAGTCGCTTTGGGCTCTTCGGGATGTTGGAGTTGAGGCTTGAAAGCTTTTGCCTTCTGGCTGTCGGGATTTAGGGCGTAAAGTAACGGCTGACAGTGGGTAGCGCCGAAGGTTCCGGGGTTAAAAAGTTGACGGCCTGTCATATGCATTCTGTGGGCTGCAGGACTGCTGGAGCGTAGACAGTGAAGCTGAGTATCTCAAGAATAAAGCTTTGCTGTAGCCACGTGGAATAATATCAGCAAGGTCGCCGCGCACAGTCTTCATTAATGCCGGTCTTCAATTGCAAAGGTTGCTGAGGAGGCCTAGTGTGGTATCTAACCTGAGAAATCTACGAGCCCGAATGGCAAACACACGACGAATTTTCGGCAACCCTATTTCACCCTACCTTGAAGTGACACTCCTTGCTGTGCAAAACGACGCGGCCACTGCCTCGAAACGACCTTCAAGTTTTGAAAGCCTGAGAGCGCATTCAGCCCCTCGGAGACATTTTCCCCAAAGCAGTGAGAGATTCAGCTCGGAAGGCTTCTGAAGGGTGGAACTTTCCTCAACTGTAAGCATACCTAAGCCCTGAGTGCCGAGCTCCGGGATGTTGAGGTTGAGGCCGAAGCCGCCCCCAAGCTCGATCTGGCGCAAGCCATGGGTTCAGAAAGACCAAGGTTGCAATTGTGCATGTATACATATATATATACTATGCAGTATATACAGCATACATACAAGTGATACATATTTATGTACAGAATATATATATATATATATATACTATATGTATATATGTATATATGTACTAACAATAGCAATAATAATAAGAAGAAGAAGAAGAATAATAATAAAGAGACATATGAATCTTATCGGGCCATGAAAACTCCTAAGTCCTTGTACCGATATTGCAAACTAAGTATGCTCCGTGAGGCTACATGGGCCTATGGTACTTGTCATTCGCTGTACACAGTGCAAACTTGGAAGCAACTCGTCACAGACAAACCTGAAACCCTCAACCCAAACGCATTCCGAAACAAACACACCAACAAACCCGTAAACACCTCGCCTTGCCAAAATTCAGCAAGCCGCCCTCCTCCTCGGCGAGTGCCGGAAGCGCCTCTGCTTTGCAGGTATGCCCTGCTTCAGGCTTCGTTGGGCGAGTTCAGCATGTTTAGGGTTTAGGGTTCAGGATGTCCTCTTCGAGGTTCCTGCTCATCCTGTGGCCCTTTCGGGCGGGAAGATCTTCGTCAGCTGTGTGGGAAGGCTCGGGGCTCTGCATGCGTTTCTGTGTATATAAGGGCAGCCTATGTGTTTCCTGTATATGGCCAAGACATGCAGGACGTGTAACCTAAACGCGGCATCCTGCTGTCAGCGAAGCCCACGATATACCGTAAATACCAAGGTGGTGGGCGTGCGCGCGCGGCGCGCGTCAACAGCTCGTTGGTGCCTCAAACAAGGCTGCACCATGCTTTTACTCTGAACGGGGTGGTGAAGAGTTTGTACTCAACATGCAACACAAACAATGGGCACCTGAAAGAGAAACCCACTCCAGCACAACTCCGTGTCAATTCCGAAGTCCACGATGGTGCCATTCGTGCCATTAGCGCCTTTACCTAAACCGTGTCGGAGTCCAATCTGCTTGCAGAGACGATAGCAACTGCCATCCCGTCAGAGGACACCCGCCCTTTCGAAGTTTCAGAACTCTAGCTGGCTGTATCTCAGAACTTGCTTGATTAGTTCACCTGCAGGACAAGGGAAAAAACTGATATCCGTCACAACGCCGACCGACTCGCGTTTGCATGATCGCTTGAGCCGTTACCTCCCTGCTCCGTCATGCTGGCCAGATCGATCTTGGATGCCCTGTTATAAAAACAGTGGCGCAGCTCATGGGCATCCTCCACAGAACTCAGCTGATGACCCAGCTTGGCTGTCCGATCTTGTAACTCAAATGTCTACATCTCGCCTACGCAAGAAGAGATCTACTGACCCACGCTTCCAGGGTCGGCACTCCACTTGCCGCGATCGCACCTGCCGACGCCATGGCACCAGCCTGAAACAAGAGGGCAGGTCGATCCGCAAGTTATCTGGGCTGCCGTGACTACTGGTTCCGCTTCTGGTCCTGCCCACCAGGAACTGCATCGGGTTAGGGTTATGCCGGTGTGCAAGTGCCTGCAAGAGACAAATGAAGCATCATGCAAATGTAGATGGCTTGTCTTGCTTTCCTGCGGCCTCCTCAGTGTGTGGTATTTCGAAGTAGGGGTCGGTGTGTAAGGTTGCTTGTGCAATCATGATTTAGGTTGTGTTTTGAAGGATCTAATTGCTGCTTACTGACATAACGTGGGATTGAGGGCATCCGCAGAAGCTGGCTTGAAGCCCCGTGGAACGCAAGAGATGGTGGCTGGCCTTGAGAAGCTTCCACGAATGGGGGTACACAATAGCATCTACAGTAGGGTTTAGGTGGCGCAAGATTTTACGGCCCAATGAATAACCCTGGTATCCTCAGTGGGCTCTACAGGATGTCGCTCAAGCTAACCTCGCAGACAGGCCCTAAACAGTAGCCACAACACCCAGGTCATTACCTGCAGTCTTACTCGCAAGAGCGGACCGCCGTACGCATGAAGGAGTCCACGGCGAAGAAACAAAACAGGCTTACACTCAGCCCTGAACACAAACCCTCGGCAAGCCCGAGTTCCGACTGATCAGCAAGCCTAAATAATGTACATCCGAGGCCCTTGCCCTAAGATTGGGCTTGTTGGCAGGAAGGAACGCAACCTCACCCGAACTTCTCTGTGGGCTCTGTGACAATTCAGGTGCGGAGTTCATGCTTATGTAGGGTCTGCTAGAGTCTGCTAGAGTTCTACAACACAAAATCGACGAAGCAAGCCCTCAGTGAGAAAGATTAAGCCAGGGGTGATAGAAGAAAGTTGCAAGGCACGAAGTTTGCATTCCAGGTGGTCGGATTGAAGAGCACCGGTGACTTTCGTTGAGCTCGGCTCGCTCGATCAGTAACCCGTCACTTGCAAAACAAATTACTGCTGCTACTGCCACTGCGACTGCTGGGAGTACGGCTAGGACTGTGCCTGCGCCTATGGCTACGGCAGCCACTGCTACTACTACTACTACTACTACCACTACTACTACTGCTGCTACTACTACTACTACTTCTGCCTTGAGCAGCCGGACCAAAGGTCTGACCTCCTCGTCATGCACTCGGATTGTGCGACGCTCGAAATGAATACTACTACTACTACTACTACTACTACTACTACTACTACTACTACTACTACTACTACTACTGCTTCTACTCGTACTAGTAGTACTACTACTACGACGACGACGACGACTACTACTACCACTACCACTGCTACTATTACAACAACTACTGCTGCTGTTGCTGCTGCTGCTTCTACTACTACTACTACTACTGGGCGCTGGGGTTATCTCACATCAGCTGGTGAGAATACACATCAATGCCGACAGACGCTGGTTTAGGGAGAATACACATCAGCGGGAAATTTACACATCAGAACTAGCTAATCCCCATGTAGACGCTGGTTTCAAGAAGCACGCAGCAGATAGGCCAAAGTGCCGGATTTGTTGCGGACGCTGAGGTATATACTACATTTGGAAGCATTCCAAGATGAGAAATCAATGCGTTTGCCAAGTAGACGCTGGGATTTGGAGTAGTCCAACCGTCAGCTATCCTAAGGGCTTCTGGACCACGCACAGCTCACAAACGCTCACACATGCACTCTGTTCTTCTTCACCCCTTCGTGTCCATGTCCAATACATAATCTGCGATACACAAGCACACACTCGTGCGAAGATGGGCACACGCGTGCCCACTGACTCTTACAGATGCGAGAGCGTGCTGTGGACGTCGAAGAATATGAAGCTGAAGATACAGAGCTTGATAAGATGATATGACGTCTATAATGCGTTCCCCGAAGTAGACGCCTTGCAGATGCGTAAAACACCCAGGTGATACGAGATAGCCCCGGGACCAAGTACTACTACTACTACTACTACTACTACTACTACTACTACTACTACTACTACTACTACTACTACTAGTAGCTGCCCTCATCAGAATTCTTGCGTAGCTGAAGACCTCCAGGCAGTGGTGTTCAGTACTGTATGTTGTCATTGCGAATGCGGTGGTGGTTGCTCCTCATGCAACTAACAGTTGCCATCTTCTTAGCGTAGCTGTTTTCCTTTTGTCCTCCTTCTGAGGATTGAGCAGCACTCCATCGCAGTGCCAGGACGGCAACCTCTTGTCGGATGCGTCAGGTTTCGGCCAATTAGTTCTGGGTCAGGCAGCTTCCGATCAAGGATGTTGAGTCTCGGACTTCAGGAGGTCAGTGTCCAAGTGACAGTTAAAGTTGCTTGGGTTGATGTTTTGGTGCGTACCATTTACAGGTACAGGTCCGCTGCTGTGGTGGATTCCGGTCGAGATGAAGGCTTGAAAGGACTGCAAATTGAGCTTCCAGTCCCTGAGCCTACACAACCCTGAGTCCATGGTCTTCAGGCCAAGTTTCGAGTTTATGGTATGGTGTTTGGAACCTTAGGCTCCAAAAAGTTGACGGTTGACTGCATGGTTGCAAGCACTCTCGTTGTAAGCCTTAACGCGGCACTATGTCCGTGCCGTGCACTCTCAAGCCTGAATCGAAGAAAAAACCCAGGTCGCCTCAAGAGCCGCGGACTCAGCTTTCCGAAAGCCTCCCCAAAAAACGGCACAAGCCCTAAACTGGCCCTAAACTGCGAACTTTAGACCCTGCTCCGGTTCCATAAACCATCTGCCCCCAAAGCGCCGTGGCGAGGAGAGCGAAGGAGGCAAAGCTGCGACGAGCCATCTGTGGTCTCGAAAGATGGATTCAAGGGCTTCACAGCTTTTACGTTGCGTCGCAGAGATTTTTTGGGGTGCACTGCACGAATTGGCATGTTCCTGGTTTTAGGGCTGTGCCATTTGAGTAGGGCGCCGAAGCCTGCTGTCGCGTTGCAATGCCCAGCGCCCTGTTTGCCTATTTCGTAAACGCAACTCAGAACACAAAACTCCTACATCAATGAACTCCCGTCGGATGTTGACAGCCGGATGACGGTTCCGACTGCAGGGCAGAGTCTCGAAAAACCTGGAGCTCTCGTCTCACAGATAATTACGTGCGGTCCCCGGCTTTGCAGATGCTTCTCCGATTGATCTCACGGACTATAGGCAGGCATGCAACCTGATAGGAATGATAGGAGCCACGAGCCCGAATCCGAATGCGAGCCTGTGTTCTTTATTTGCCTGAGCTTGCCTCATGACGCTGCCAAGATATGCCCGGACACACCTAGACTCCTCGACGACAAGTGTACGGTGCAGATAAACTCAGGAGCGAGGAAAAGTGGGTTTTTGGACAAAGTGATCTTGCGATATGCCCATGCCAACGGCCAATGCCCGAGACCAAACGTCTGACCAATCAATGCGATGCCTCCTGCCCCAAACAATCCAAACAGCCAACTGGCAGTCAGTGTGTGTGTGTGTGTGCGTGCATGTATGTATGGATAGGTATTTATGATGTAAATATGATGTACCTGGGTAGATTTCTGTGTGCATGCATGCATGCATGCATGCATGCATGTATGTATGTATGTATGTAGGTGTATGTATGTATGTGTATATATATATATATACACATTGACTACTTCTGTATCTGTTTATCTGTTATCTATTGATTCAGCATGTATGTTTTATCATGTTTGTACATACTATGTATATATACATATTTATTTAAATGTATATTAGTTAGATGCATACCTATGAATAAGCACATATTCACAACCACAAGTGAATAGGATAATGTCCACATCTATATACATGTGTATATATATACATACACAGGTAAAGATACATATACATGCCCGACCGGCCTTGATATGCCTCAAAAATCGGGCCTTGTCAGGATCGGCAGTTGGGAAGGTTCTCATCTTGCGTGGGCTTGGATGTCAAGCTGTGAATTTTCAGGGCTGAGCTTACAACATCCTATCAAAGTGAAGCTTTCGCTGCACAGCCCCCACCCATGCCTTCCGGAACGGATGCAAGTGCTTCTAAATTAGGCATAAAAGGAGTCCTCGTAGAGTAATAGTAGCAGTCGTCGAAGTCGTCGTAGTCCTCGTCGTCTCGGGAGCAGCAGCAGTTGTGGAAGTAGCAGTAGGAGCAGGAGCGGCAGCAAGAGATACAAAGGAGTAGGAATACGGAATACACGTAACAGTAGTAGTAGAGTAGTAGCAGTATTATAGTAGCAGTAGCAGTAGCAGTAGCAGTAGCAGTAGCAGTAGTAGCAGTAGTAGCAGTAGTAGCAGTAGTAGTAGCAGTAGTAGTAGTAGTAGTAGTAGTAGTAGTAGTAGTAGTAGTAGTAACGATAATAATAGTAAACGTAGTAGCAGCAGTAGTGGTAGGACTACTAGAACTAGTCTCAGTGCTAGTACTAGCTAACGCTAGAGCCAGCACTAGCACCAGCACCAGCAGAAGTAGTGGTGAGCAGCAGCAGAAGTAGCGGAAACCGTAGCAATAGCACTAGTCAGGAGTGGTCGTCGTCGTACTCGAAGCTGCTGCTATTCGTATTTATTGTACGTCGTCTTCTTGTCCTCTCAGGCTTCACTCCCTTCTGCAACCACCGTCGTGGACTCAGTTGCCGACCCGGTGGACGAGCTTTGGAGGATGCCGGGAGCCGGAAAAAAGCTTGTGCCCAGAAGCAGGCCGGAAAGCAGAGTTTGGGGTTTTTGGGTTTGCGGACTGCAGGGTTCTTAGGGATGAGAGTTCAGTGTTGAAGGAGGATCCCCAGGGGCGTCTCAGGCAAATCGTCGTAGCATGGTATACAAAGGTTCGGGCTTAGACTTTAGATCATTCAGCTTGGCCCGGCTCTGACATCAGGCATTGGGACTTCGATCTGCTGTCTTGGGTTGGGGGGGTTTCGGTTGCCAACATGAAAGGTTGCGGCTTTCAAGTTCGGGTTCTACGGACTCCACGAAAGACAGCACAAACCCAAATCCTCAAGCCGGATCCCTGCTCTCAGCATGCATAGCTCCACAGATTCATCGACGATGGGTGGATGTTTATGGGACTTCTCTGCTTACTTCCCTAGTGCTTCACGGGTCGGCTTTACTGCTTCCGACCAAGACCAGGATGGAAGTAAGTGTCTGAAACTTGGAGCCTGTCCAGCTTTAGCCTTACGACCTTAGGAGTTAAGCAAAGCCAGGGCCTGGAGTCGAAAACACGTTCCTGAACCTCTGTGGGCCTACGGGCATGTAATCCCAAGCCTTCGATGTCCCACCGCGCCCGATGGTCTGCAGCCGTGTGTAGGAAACCTAGGATTAGGGTTGTGACACGTGGCACTGCGAACTTCCTAAGTCTCGGCATCGAACAGATGTGTAATTATATGCCTCAAACACGGCAACGTCTGCACGCTGCTCTTCATAGATGTTGAACCGCCATGTGAGAGCGGGGGCCCGTAAAGAATATAGAAGAACGAACCGCAAGCTGAAACGCAACCGCCTTGCCTGCAGAATAGGCAGAGGGCTGGACACTCGCCCATTAGTGTAAATCCCGCGTACACTGAACCCGGAACTCCTAAGGTATGACAAGTTGTGGAGACTTAACTTGTCTTCTGTAGACTCAGATGATCATCCGTTAGCTACTCAATTCACATGACCTTTACCCTAAACCCCGAACCTGAATCAGTTCAACCCTGGACCAACCCCCCACACACACCCACACACACACACATCCAAACACACACACACAGAGAGAGAATCTTTGGGACTTCGGGGCATCACGTGGTCGAGGGGTTGAAGCTTCAAGGTTGCGCTGATTTACAGGCCGGGGCCCCGGCACCGTTGACGACCACGGATTTCGGGTTTCCACTTCCTGCCCGTCTGCATGGAAACAAGGTATCCTGAAGCTAAAACTGTCAGAAGCTCAAACCCAAAACCTCGCTCCGTCAAGTCCTTGCAGCTTGAACCCTGAACCAAGAAACCAAGCCATCATTGGAGGGCTGAAGATGGTTGAAGTTAAGGTCGCCCAGAAGAGCCCGGACAGGACGTCGGGTTCGCGACCGGTGGAGCTCAGCAGGAAGGGGGTTTCTCGTCGGATCAGCTGAGCTTCAGGCTTTGGCATGTACGGGAATCGACCCTCGTTGTCAGACAGCGTTTCGTGGAGTTTCAAGGTCCAAGTTTAAGAGTTCAAAACTCATCGGATGATGATGACATGCCAAAGAAATGGCGGCTCAGTGGTGTCCAGGTTTTGCCTTCAATGATGGCATGGGGTTGACACTTGATTGGATCCCGAGTTTTTACACGGATCGAAAGGCCTCTTGCTACATAGCCTCTGTACAGCTTTGAACCATCGCTAGAATCAGAACAGACCTCCCACTAGGAGTCAGATCTTCAGAAGGAGCTCAGAGGCCATGGACTGGGACTCATGGGATGTAGGCCCTGCGCCCTTGGGGTCAGTTTCTGTGATACTGATCAACTGGCCCAGGACTTCAGGGTAGGTAGCAGAGTCTGGTATGCAATGTAATTAAACCGAGAATGAGTGCATGTTCGAACTCAAACTCAAACAATCACACATGCGCGCAAGGCACCCACGCGCGCACACACGGACACATCCCAAAGCCTGCTTCTTGAACTCGGTGGAGGGCTGAATTGGGGGCATTCCGATACGCACCTTTTCCTTGGGCTCTCTGGGGTCTTCCCAAACAGTAAACAAGGCCTCCGCTGTTGTCCGCGCAAAGGGCCATGGCTGCCTGTGATCTGTTTAATGTTCTGAATGAAGACCAGTATTTTGGGGTGTTTGAAGTACAAGGAGACCCACGGAACATCTAGCCTGTCACGAACCCCTGCAGAAAGTTGCAGTCACTAAAGATCCCAGTTCTGTGGAAGGGTTGGACATGTTGGGGTGCGGGTTTCACACTACAGCCAAGAACACCGTGTATTGCTTCTTGTTCTTATTCTTCTGATAAACCCTACAGGTGTTTCTGAGGCGCGTCTGCTCTGGCTGTCCTAATGACATGTTTTGTCCTGGTTTCTTGGTGTCGGGCTTCTTGTCGGTGATACAGTTGCATCGAAACCTGAGATCAAGCCTGCACCTTACACACACACACCAAAACACATCACGCTCACATCCAACAGCCATAGCGCACTGAACCCTGAACATAAAAACACAAACACACAACTACTGCAACAACTACTACCACCACAACAAACGCGACTACTACTACTACTACTACTGCTGCTACTACGACGACGACTACTACTACAATTACTACTGCCCCTACTACTGCTGCTACTGCTACTGCTACTGCTACTGCTACTGCTACTGCTACTGCTACTACTACTACTACTACTACTACTACTACTACTACTACTACTACTGCTACTGCTACTGCTACTGCTACTGCTACTGCTACTGCTACTGCTACTGCTACTGCTACTGCTACCGCTACCGCTACCGCTACCGCTACTGCTACTCCTACTACTACTACTACTACTACTACTACTACTACTACTCCTACTGCTACTGCTACTGCTACTGCTGCTGCTACTGCTACTGCTACTGCTACTGCTACTGCTACTGCTACTGCTACAGCGACTGCTGCTTCCACTCTAGCATCACAACCGCGCCGACGACAACCAGCACTACGATTGCGTCCAATACTTACTATTGCCATCACCATCAGTTTGGAAGGTTGCGGCTTGTGAACCTGCTCATGGTGGCCAGAAAGTGCCGGGGATCGGATTCACGTTGTAGGGTTTCGGGTAAATGTATAGCAGGGCTGGCAGGGGTTACTGATAAGACTAGCCCTGCAAGCCGGAAGCC